TCTGTGAAGATGAGAGCTCAGACCATCGTTACTTGCTGGAACATTTCAGAGCAGTGAAAATTCTGACATGTCTACATCCCATATCCTGCCAAGATTCTAAACAGGAAGGTTTTACATCTCTATTCAGACATAGACACGAGCACAAACACAAACACACATACACACACACACCAATAAACAGAAAACCAAATAACCAAACACCAACAATAAGATAAAATAAAGAGCAAAGCTTCTAGTAGTGTCCCACCCCAGCTGCAGCTGCAGGATCACAAAGCATGCTGAGCAGGGCAGAGCCCACAGGACTCACTCCAGACCAATGGCTGAGCTCTCATTCCCCTCCCCCACCCCTGGGAAAGATACACACCTCACGTGACTGATAGATGTTTACTAATGACACGTTACAGAGGAGACTTACAACACTGGGAGACTTCATGAAGCAAAGGGAATATTCTTTCTAAATAGCGTCTAACCATAGTTGAGGAGACAGAAACTGACATGTTCAGATAGAAAGCAATCAAAGGCTAAGTAGATGGCTAAGAGGGTACGGCACCTGTACAAGCATGGGGACCTGAGTTTGAATCTACAGTAAGCAGGGCACAGTAGAACATACATTTGTAATTCTACCAGTCCTAAAGGGAGATGGCAGGTAGCAACAGGATAGTCTTGAAAACCCAAGGACCAGCTGTCTAGCATATTCTGTGGCTGGCTGTCTCAAACAAGTTGGAAGGACACAATTGACACCTAAGATTATCTTCTGACCCTTACAAGCATTTCATGGCACACACATGTGCACACACACACAAGAACACACACACTCAGGGCAGGAATGAAGGGAAGGCAGAGAAAAAGGGAGATGAAACTTCTGGTCTTCTCTTATGTGCAGGATTTCCTGAGACCCCTCCCCACAATGCTGCTGGGAAGCCAGGACAAGACCAACAGCCCCTCTCCCCTGCTTTACCAGATATCTGATCAAATCATGACAAAACATGAGAACACGGTCTCTATCTCAAAATACGCTTACCCTACCTTAGCCTATCTTGCGGTAAGAGGTGCTATACTATATGCTGTTTCTAAGGTGATGAGAGTGACACACATTAAGCACCTATTTCTTTTTTAAAATTAATTTATTATGTATACAAGTTGTGCCTGCATGTACACCTGCATGCCAGAAGAGGGCACCAGGTCTCATTATTGATGGTTGTGAGCTGGGAATTGAACTACATGACCTCTGGAGGAGCAGTATGTGCTCTTAACCTCTGAGCCATCTCTCCAGCCCTTAAGCACCTATTTTAAAGCTGCTGAATGCAGCACTGTAGTATTACACTTGAGACCTGAGACACCTGCTACCGGGGACTTACAGGAGAGGGCTAACAGGTGGCGGCATCTACAGCTTCTACAGGCTAGCAAGGAAAGGAGGAAACAAAATGCGTAATTTCAAAACCAAGAACCAACCAGGTATGGTGGTGCACACCTCTCACCCCCAGCACTTTCTAAAAGAACTCAATTATGCTTTTAGTTTTTAAAGAGAAGCGCATCTTGTTGTGTGGCTCAAGCTAGCCTGGAGTTCCTGGTCCCCTAAGCCCTCTTCCCAGGCTCTAAGTAGCAGGGACTACAGGTTTGTGTGCTGACTCATGCTATGATTCCTCACTGAGTGATTCCAAGAGAGGAAACATAAAGCCCATAGCTATGTTTTGGGGAAAGTGCAATTAGGAACAAGTGAAGGGGCTGTGATACAGCTTGGAGGCAGACAGTGGCTTACTTTCAGGGTCCTAAGGTCACTCTCAGGACAAAAAAAGGTGGCCATATATGTCACTTTAAATGAAACTTAGGTGGATTTTGAATGGAGGAGCAGCTGTGATTAAGAGGGTTTTCCAGGTGTTGAGCTGGGGTTACTTATGGAGGGCACAATGTGATTCTGTGGGAGACCTCTCAGGAGTCAGGTTTCTGTTACAGTAACGAAAAAAACTTTCACAAGGGTAAGGGTTTCAGTTGCTGGTCTCAAAACCATGGGCCGAAAGACAGCAACTTGCAGGCATGATTGCACAGGGCTGAGTGAATGAAATATGAGGACACACTGACACCCAGGGAACCCAGGGAGAGAGAGAGGAGGTGGGATTAGCTGCCGTGAACAAGAAAAGAGTTTCAGAACCAGCCGGGCCCTGGCAGACTACAGCCTGCACCTACACTGAAGCCTGGCACTTGGCAGAGTCAACTTCACTCACCACTGCCCTGGACTCTTCAATCCACTGCTGGTCTCAGGCACTCCTTGTTATTGACCTTAAGCCTTGAGCAGACTCACTAGATCAAACCATACAAAGGTCACTCACACAAATAAGAGACTCCCTTATCCGGGCTGCCCCAAATAGCCCTATATCAGCTCTATAACTTCCCCCTGGTCCAGGGTCCACAACTCTTATGTTAACAGCATTGATTGCTAGTCTCACTCAAGGAAAAAGCTACTATGGGCAGAACTGTTCCAGTCAGCTAATAACCAGACAATTCAAAACAGGCTTGACACTCAGTGGGAGGGGAACAAATATCTCCTTGATGAATGAAAGAAAACAAAACAAACAAAACTTTCACTAACACAATGACATCTTGTTCTAGTACAGAAACTGTTGGATCATTAAACTGAGAGGGCTAGAAGATGGCTTAGCAGACAGAGCACATATGACTACACAGGACTCAAGTTCTGTTCCCAGCACTTTCATTAGACAGCTCACAAACAACTCTAACTCCAGTTCCAGGGACTCAAGACCTCTGACCTCAGTGGGCACATTTTATGTGCAAATATCCACACACATAATTTAATTTTTTTGGTTTTGGTTTGTTTGTTCTCTGTGTAGCCTTGCCTGTCCTGGACAGGCTTTGTAGACCAGGCTGGCCTCAAACTCACATTGATCCACCTGCCTCTGCTTCTCTAAATGCTGGGATTACAGGCATAAGCCACCACACCCCGCAATAATTAATCTTAAAAAAACAAACAAAACCCCCACAAATTTGATGAGCCCAGGTTTCACTGTTTGTTTCTGTTGTTCTGAGACATGGTTTCTCTAGGTAGTCTGGCTGTCCTGGAACTCACTCTGGGGAGCAGGCTGGCCTTGAACTCAGAGATCTGCCTGCCTTTGCCTCCAGAGTACTGGGATTAAGCTTGATTTGTTTTCATTAGTACTATTATTATTGGTTCTTTTTGAGACAGGATCTTCTACATAGCCCTGGCCGTTTGGCAACACTCAAAGAGATCCACCTCCTGTCTCCTGAGTGCCAGGATTAAAGACATCCACCACTATAACCAGCTCTTTCTTTTTTTAATTAAAAAATTTTTTTTTTATTTTCAAAACTAACTTTAGTATTTGTGTGTGTGTGATGTGTATGAGTACAGGCACACGTGAAAATCAGAAGTTAACTTTTGGGAGTCAGTTCTCACCTTCCACTGTGGATTAAACTCAGGTTATCAAACTTGTGCTGCAAAAGCCTTTACCCACAGTCATACAGCCAGACCTACTTTCCTTCTTTGAGACATTCTTACTATGTAGCCCAGCCTAGCCTTATTTTTATGATCCTCTTGTCTCTACCTTGAGTGCTCACATCACTGTAATACCATACCTGTAATACCAGAACTTGGGAGGCTAGGAAGGATGACCACTGGGAACTGAGGCCAATTCTATGCTATAAGAAAACAAAAACAGGAGCTGGAGAGATGGCTCAGAGGTTAAGAGCACTGGCTGTACTTCCAAAGGTCCTGAGTTCAATTCCCAGCAAACACATGGTGGCTCCCAATCATGTATAATGAGATCTGGTGCCCTCTTGGCATGCAGGCACACATGCAAGCAAGAATACTGCACAAATAATAAATAAAAGAAAACAAACACAAAACCTCACAGTGTGGTCTTTCCTAACTTCACCTCACTAAGCCTGTGTGGTCTCACTCTTGAAATAACACCTCACAGGGCTGGAGAGATGGCTCAGAGGTTAAGAGCATTGGCTGTTCAATTCCCAGCACCCCATGGCAGCACATAACTGTCTGTAATTCCATGTAATTCCAGTTCCAGGGCTGACACCCTCACAGACATACACATAGGCAGAACACCAATGCACATATAAGAATAAATTGTAAAACAAAAAAAAAAAAAAAAAAGAAAGAGCACCTCGCTAAGCCTGTATGGTCTCATTCTTGAATAAGGATGTTATTTGGCTCTGTGAGGACTGAAGTTCTAACTCTGCAGAGTCTGGATTTTCATTCCTTCCTGAAAGGCAATTTGCTTAAACTGACGGTCAGTACAGTAAACATGTGAGTTGACTCAAGGAGCTCCTTCAATCAGAACAGAGATAGGCAAATGGCAAAAAAGGAGGCAGGGTATGAAAGGGTCGCTGTAGAAGAAACAGCCTAGAGCCACAGAGGTTACTGAGGGGCGGAATGAAACCACTAAGATGTTGCAAATCAAGTTGGAGGTGTAGTGAGGACGCCTTCAAAGATGGACTAGTACATGGCAGGAGAAGAAGCCGCCCTGGGAGCAGCTGACTCTAGGACCTACATTCCTCACTTCACGTCCTCACAGATATTCAACGTCAACCACAGGCTCCCAATCTCACCTTCCCCAGTATCTTTGTCACAACGGACAGGGACTCAAGACCTAGACACCTAGAACTTACAGGTCTAGGGATCGGGAATGGCATTTCCTAGATTTCCTGAGACCTCAGTTTTACATCTCAGGGGGAGCCTGGATCTCTTTCTATTTATCTCCAGTCACTGTAGGAGCTTCCAGGCTGACGCTCTGGATAATGGTACCACGGCCACCCGACATGGGGATCCCCGATGCGGGAACCCTGTTGTTGCTAAGGGACAAAAACTTCATCAGTTCCGAGGTAAGAGGGCGTGGCGGAGACCTGTCTGTCACCACAGGTGAGGGCAAGGCCTTCGGAAGCTCTAACCCCGAAGGAGGCAAAGAGGGTCGCGTCCCCAGTACCCCGCGGCCCACCAGGCTGGCTCGCCCGCTCACCGCCTTCTCCAAGTGGCTGCGCGCCTGCTCGCTGTTCTTCGTGTGGTGGTAAAGCACGGAGCCGAGCTGCAGGTGCGTACGGGCCTCGATCCGCTGAGGCGGCTTGAAGGGGAACACGGCCTGCAGGCAATGGACGCACAAGCGGATCTTGGGCGGACTAGATGTTCGGAAGTGCTCGGCGAAACCCAGGAGAGCCAGATACCAAGACTCCGCTGCCTCGGCCTGCGCCGCCTGAGCCGCGGCCGCCTGCGCCGCCGCCGCCGCCTGCGCCGCCGCCGCCGCCTGTGCCGCCATCTTGGCCTGCACAACAACAAGCCGCCTCCACAGGGAGGCGGAAGCACCTCGAGGGGCGGGGCCTGGGGGTTGTCCTCCCGGCTCTCGCGAGAACTGCTGCGCAAGGTCTTCTGGGACTTACACTGTGTATTAGCAGTGGCTGTGACTGAGGAAGAATCTGAGGAGAGGACGACACCTCTGCATCATCGCGACTGAGAGTGATACACATTCATGAGTTGACGCCAGCTTGTCTGCGGAGAAGACGCCTGGTGTCCTAGAGAAGTTGGACGTGATTGACGGAGGAGGACTACATTTCCCTTCAGACCAAGCGCATTATAACAGAGCCTCCCTCCTCTCAGGTGGCGCCGGAGCATTGTGGGATTGGATGAGTCTCAAGATGGACAACCGGGATGTTGCAGGTAACATCCCCCGCCTTCCCTCCGGCGCCCGCCTGGTTTCTCGCGACTGCACGTTCCCCCCTTCACCCGCTTTTCTGTCGCGGTCCTGACACGCGGACTCCTTGCCTCAGCCCCTCGGCAGCCCACAGTAACGGCGTGTGCACCGCTTTCGTCTCCCGAGACCCCAGACTCGGGTTGCACTGGCCGCCCCCGCCCGGGGCTGAGGAGCACTCGGCGTCTGCACCAAAGGCCTAGGCGCCGAGTGGGACCCACGCGAGCTTTCCCAATGAACTGCTCTCAAGGCCGGCGCCACCCACAGAGGCTACCCCGAGACTGCCCTGCTTCCCCTCCGGGTTCCCTCCAGGTGGCAGCTCCCCTTCAGCTTGGGTCCTGCTTGAAAAATCTGCGTTTCAGAACTGCACCGGGCCGGCCAGGGCACAATTTCCGAACCCGTCTTTGACACGGGTTTGCCTGTCCCTATACCCCCAGGATGGGATGCATTCGTCCATTCACCATATGCTTCCACACTTCCTCCGCGCTAAGCACTTTGTGCTAAGCCTGTGTGTCAGTGCATTTGGGAGCAAATTTTGCAAAGACTAGTTCTGGTGACGTGAGGTCTGGGTTGGATGCTGCTCGTATGTTGAAGGTCAGGGAAGGCTTTAACAACCTAAAAAATATTTGTATGTATTTCTGTCTGTGGGTGTGAGTGCACGTGTGGGCGTGGGTAACCACGGAGGCCAGAAGAGAGTGTGGGATCCCCTAGAGCTGGAGTTAGAGTAAGCCACCTGGCTGTTTGCCGGTACCCCGGCTTGGATCCTCTGCAAGAGAAACAAGCACTCTTAACCTCAGAATCATCTCTCCAGCTCCACGGAAGGTCTTTTTTGAGCACAAGATGTTGGAAATGAGTAGATGCCCGCTATTCGTAGGCAGAGATTTCACCTGAGACTGGCTGGGCCTTGGAGTAGACTGAGATAGTTCCTTTGGAGATTGTCATGGAGATAATTAAGGGAGCCAACTCTGGTAGAGTCTGGAAGTCAGCTTTGCTTTCAACATTTAGATTTAAGGGCTGATGAGGTGTTTCAGTAGTTAATTAAAGTGCTTGTTGCCCAAGAATGAGGACCAGGCTCCCCATCTCCAGCATTCATATAAAAAAGCCAGTTATAATGTCGTGGGCCTGAAACCATAGCACTGTGGGCTGGAGACAGGTGGATTCCTGGGGCTAATTGGCAGCCTGTCCAGCTGAAAAAGTGACTTCAAGGTTCTGTAGATGCTCTGTCCCAAAATACTAGGCAGTGAGCCAGTGGTGTATGCCTTTAATTCCAACTTTTGATAAGAGGTAGGTGGATCTCTGAATTCAAGGCCAGCCAGGGCTATATACCCTGCCAC